TTTTTTTTGGCTAGCAAAACAAAATCCAAATGACACTACTTGTATAGAGCCACAACTATATTTCCGAATAATCCATCAAGACTTAAATATCACACGAATAAATGTAGACTTGCCGTCGGATATGCAATCTTTGGTGTGTGAAATGTGGGGTACGAAAAATAAATATTTTGGTAGTGTTATGAAGCCGCCGTATTTTCTGGTGTCGTATGTTAATGTAACGAAGAGAATTGGTATGGATAATGATTATGAATATTATCGTGCAGGATTGCTGATGGATTGGGATGGAAATTTCAGGGAGTGAGTGATTTTTTTTTGATTTGTTTTAAAAAAGAATATTTGAATTGATTTTTCTTTTTATAGTTTTATTCAGATGACTCCTGTACAGGATTTTCCTAGTTCGGGGTTAATAATTCATAATGTTAATCCTGAAAATGGATTCCTTTGGTTATATAGCGCATCAAGAAATAATACACTCGGGTGGACAAAATATAGCACAGTGTAATTAATTTAAAAATATTTCCTTCTATTCTGTTAGTAATGTTAATTAAATTTCTCATGGATTTAAAACATGCAGCCATGAAAATGGGACGATTACAAAATTGTCAAATGGAACTTTTTCAACCACAGCAAGCTCAGCATTTCCATTTGCAATGGTAGACGGAGGCTACGGCTTAGCATATACAATAAACAAAACAAATGAAACACAGTTAAATAAAAATAATATTTCTAACGCTCTGTACGCAAACTGGGAAGCTTATGTAACATTCTTACGACCGGACGTTAAGGAATTCATGAAACCCTTTCTTCTATACGAAACAACAGAGCAACTAAGTAAATTACTCATATACTCTTGTAACACGCCATATGATGCTGACGGATATAAGTGTCTGCTGAGATTAGAAATGATCTTTGGCAATAGTACACAGATTCTATTTAAACAAGTATGGTTCTTGACTAGTGGGTCAGTATATAAAATTGAAGATGTACCATTAGAGAATCCTAATTATGAAGTCAACGATATTTCAACTCTTTTCTATGGTGGATTCTTGATGACTATTTATAATAAGAAGGGAACAGATAATAGCAGTGTTACTGGATTTATTTATGATTCTGCGGGGAATCCTAATGGAGCATGGGACATTCCGGACAATGTGCGTGTGTCGGATGTTTATAAGATATTACCGAATAATACTTTATGGGGTGTTTCTACAGTTACTAATAC